TTCTCCGTGTCCCCCCCTGCAACCCCTCCAGCCCTGCCTCAGTTTCTTTTCTGTCCGTCCGACGCCCGCTCGCGCGCTCTCGATATGGTTTTCAGTTGAGTATTTTGTAAGATGTTACCGATGTTCGTCCTTGTATAAATAAAACTGTTTCTGGCAATACCCGGCAGCACCCCACCGCGTTTTGGGGGTGCCCAGGGGAGGTACCAGGGTGGGAAGGGGGGAGCACCAGCACCTTTGTGTCCCCTTTTCTGTCCTTATCAGAACAGGACAAATGTCCCCAGGGTGTCGTGGTTGCCTTGTGTGCCTCAGTTTCCCCACCGACAGCGCCAGGGCTGCCCCTTTCCTATTCATCCGGTGGGATAGCGGGGTGCAGAGCTGGACCAGCCTGGCTGTGGGGGCTCCATCCACCCCATTACCCCCCCAGCCCAGGCTCTGCCCTGCCCAGAGGGTCCCCAGCCATGCCCCTGCCCCCCCTCTTTTTGAAGGACTCGGTGCCAGCGGGGTGGTAACTGGTTTTATTTGGTTAGAAATGGGGTGACTCCTCCAGCGTGGAAGGGGACCCCAGAGGGAGAAACTGAACTGGACGGAGGCATGGGGGTGTGTGTGGGGGGGACGGACAGTGGGAAATGGTGCTGTTTGTCCCCCCCCAAGTGACCCCAAAGCTGGGGCTGGCCCTGCGCTGTGTCCCCAGACCTGCTGGGCAGGGGGTACCCCCAGCTCTGCCACCCCCTGCTCGTCCCACTCTGGGGTGGGTGGCCCCTGCCCTGGGAGGGAGCAGCACTGGTAGCACAGCGAGGGTTAAACTGGCCAGTGGTCCCAAGGCGGGGGGACGTGGGTGCCCTCCTGGCTAAGCGATGGGCACAGCTAGGACGGGGGGGCGGAGCATGGGACTTACAGGGACACAGTGGGGTCCCCTAAGGTGGGGACCCTACATCGGGGACCCCTTACTCGGCATGGGGGGAGCCCCGCGGGCGGGTGACAGAGAGGACGAGCCAGGGCAGGACAGATGCCACCAGCCAGGGCCCGGCCACGTACTTGAGGGAGCTGGTGCTGTACCACAGCATCGCGTCCGCCGGCTGGGGAAGCCGGTGCAGGCCCTGGATGGCCACCAGGGCCAGGACAGCGCTGGCCACGCGCTGGCGGGCGTCCAACCGCTCCCCCCGGTGCAGGGGGAAGCCGGTGGCCAGCCCCAGGCCCAGGGCGCTGCTGGCGACGCGGCAGACGGAGGCGAAGGGCCGGGTGTCGAGGCGAAGCCAGGAGGGATCCGAGCACCATTTAGTGGCCAAACGGATGGACCTAAGGGGGGTGAGGATCCTTGGAGGGGGGCAAATCCCTGGGGCTAGACCCCCCCAGCAGCCTGGGGGTAGGTAAATCCCTGGGACTAGCCCCCCCGCCCCAGCCAGGCACTCACCAGTCGATGTCGATGCCGGCGGTGGTCACCAGGCCATGCAGGGCGAGGGAGGAAAGCAGCAGGGCCAGCGCGGTGGCCACAAAGAAGCCCAGGGTCCGGGTGGCCGGGGTGCGAGCCTGCAGCCCCCAGCCCAGGGCTGCTCCTGGATGGCAACGACAAGGCACGGTGGGCTACCAGGATGGATTGAGGCCGGAGGGGGGGCTCAAGGCCCCAAACACCCTGGCCCAGGGGTGGGTGTTGGGGTAGAGGGACTAAAATGTTCCCCGACTCACCTGCCAGGATGCCACCGACTACCTGATGGGGGAAGTGGGCCAGGATGAAGACCCTTGATAGCCCAACGGCCAGCTGGAGCAGGGCGTAGGTGCCAAAGGGGGCCAGCTTCGCCACCAGGCTGGAAGGCAAAGAGGGTGAGTGGTGGGGAGGCAGCCAGCGGCTCCGGCTCGGGCTCCCAAACACGCTGAGCTGGTCAGGGCAGGTTTGGCACCGCTTGGCATGAGGAATGATTGAAAAGGTGAAAGTGGCCAAAAAAAAAAAAAAAAAGCATTTGTGGGGGTCTCCAGGGCTTTGCAGCTTGTTTCTGCAGCACAGAGGTGCCAGGGTAAAGGCGTGCTGCCCAGGGAGCTCGCTGAGGAGGGGTCCCACATCACGCTTCCCTCTTCCAAAAGGAGCTCTGGAGATTTCTAAGTGTTGTTTTCACCCTCCTGGAACTCACCTCCTGGAGCGTCTGGCTGCCAGCGCGGTGACAAGTGGCCAAAGGGCCGCCCCCATGATCATGCAGTGGCCGGAGGGGCTCCCTGTGAAGGGGAAGCGCAGGACGGTGGGTCAGGCGGGAGCGTGTCACAGCGGGGCGGGCGCCCAACATCACCCCAGGAGAGTTGGGGACACATGTGCTGAGCCTCGCCCCATCCCTCCTGGCCAGCTGCCGTGGGAGGCTCGGCTCGAGAGTGCCTGTGGATGATGGTCGCCCACCCAAAAAAAAAAAAACCAAACCAAAAAAACAGGCAGGTTTTTTTTTCACCCCGGTCCCTGCCGGCGGCAGACTCTCCTGTGGGTTTCCTGGCCCCGGAGCTGGCAGTGCTGTGCCAGCAGCCGTGGCGCCCAGCCCGCGCCCCGCCGCTCGCCCGTTTGCTCTGCCGCAAGGCGCTGGCTGAGGGATGGCTTTCCCCGCTCAGCACATCCTGCCAGCGCGGTGGCACCCTCCAGCTTCAGCATTCCCATCCGGACAGGGCCTCCCGGCTCCCGCAGCCCTTCCCTACGGATCCTGGAGCTGCGAGGAAAACCTTTTGCCTGTAACTCACCCGGTCCCGTTTCACAGGAGAGGGGGAACTGGCGCAGCGTGACCAGCTCCTTGGTGCTGAGCCCCGACTCATGGACCCACCAGAACGGGCGCTCCCCGAATAACAACCTGGAGGGGAGAGGAACCACAGAGCAGTGAACGGCCCAACCTGGCCCAACGCCGTCACCGCCCAACCCTGTGGAGCCGAGGGCTGAAGCCGGCAGCGGGAGGGCAGGATCCTGCCTGTTCTCACATCTCCCCCAGCTGTTTTCTGGCAGGTATGTTACTGTGGTGACCTGCAGAAACTTCAGCGTGGCGCAGCCCGCGTCTCTGCCTGCCCAGCGGAGCCCACGGTTGTCTTTCTGCGATTGCAAACGTGCCACCGCTCAGCCCTCAGGGTGTCACCAGGTGTGACAGGTAGCCTGTGACACCCCGGCTCTCCCCCCTCACCATTTGAGAACCACGTTGAGCCACTCTGACACCAGGCCAATCCACAGCACCGACACTCCCACTTTGCGGTCCAGAAAATAGGCGAGAGGGAAAAAGATGGTGAAGATGGATTTGGGATCGGCCAGGGAGGTCACCGAGATCCAGAACTTTTCCAGGCAGGGTGGCCCGGACTGCAGCACCTCTGCGAAGCGGATCCCGGCAGTGTGCAGCGCGTCCATCCCGCCGGGCTGTTGGGAGGGAGAGGGGGAATGTTAGAGCTCAGGCCTTGGAGCAGAGGCCGCTCGCCAGGCAGAAACCTCGGGAAGGGGGCGGGAGGTGGCTCCTTTGGGTTGGGGAGCTGGCTCCCGTGCTCGGTGTCACCCTGAGGGACGTGATGCCAGTGCTGGCACGGCTTCAGGGAGCTGTTTGCCACCTGAAGTTTGCCCACGTAGGACTCTCAACCTTTGCATCCCGCCTGTGGCCCGACAACTCCAGCCATGGTGGGGGACAGCGGCGCCGGACAACGTCACCGCGTGTGCAGGGCTGCCTGCTGAGGGCCGGCCGCGGGCAGGGCCCCGCCTGACGCCTGCTCGGGGCTGACCCAGTGTGGGAACACCCCGGGGGTCTCAGTGGGGGGATTCGTGTTCTCCTGGGCTCTGCATGGAGCCATGCGTGTTTGGGGGGGGATGTGTGTCCCCTAGGCTGTGCATGGAGCCACGCTTGTATTTTGGGGGGATTGCTTGTTCTCCTGGGCTGTGAACGGAGCCACGTGTGTCCTTGCGGGGTGGGAATGCGTGTTCTGGGCTGTGCATGGAGCCACGTGTGTTCTTGGGGGCGGATTCATGTTCTCCAGGGCTGCGTGTGGAGCCACGCGTGTCTTTGGGGGATGCATGTTCTGGGCTGTGCATGGAGCCATGTGTGTCCTTGGGGGGGATGCGTGTTCTTCTGGGCTGTGCACAGGGCCACGTGTGTCTTGGGGGGGGGGG